TTAAACTGTGAGCTTACTGAAGGCAGGAACAGTGCCTTATTTCACTTGGTATCCCCATATCCCGCTCAGGTTCTGACATAGAATTGGTGCTTGATGTATGGCTGTTTGAGCAGATGATTTTTGTAGTTTTCTTTTTCTTGGACAGTTTTCCAGGGACTGATAAGGCTAAATCAGGGGTCAAGGAAGCCAACTGGTTTGCAGAGGTAGTAAGAGGATAAAGACATTTGGTCCACTGTTGCTTTTCTCCACAACTAAGTATCACCATTTGGTGACAGCTCCCTAGATTCTAGAACCAGTGCAACAATAATCCCTTGGCATATCACTCTCTTCCAACCCTGAGCCAAGGAAAGGCATTTTCCTACTCAGTCACCAGTGTGTGTATGAATTTGAATTTTCATTTGCAATCAAGCTGAGGGTTTATGGTTTTTAAAAAATGAGCTGACTGCAGCAGAGAGCGCTCACCATATCTAGGGCTGGTGAGTGTCTGGCTTTGTTGAGGGTGAGATTAGAATCATGCACCAGGCTTTGGGAGGCCGAGGCAGGCAGATCACAAGGTCAAGAGATCGAGACCATCCTGGCCAACATGGTGAAATCCCGTCTCTACTAAAAGTACAAAAAATTAGCTGGGCGTGGTGGCGTGTGCCTGTAGTCCCAGCTACTTGGGAGGCTGAGGCAGGAGAATTGCTTGAAATCCGAAAACAGAAGTTGCAGTGAGCTGGGATCGCACCACTGTACTCCAGCCTGGTGATAGAGTGAGACTTTGCCCCCACCCCCCCACAAAAAAACAATCATACACCAGGGACTGGAGGACCAAATTGCAGGGTCTTGGGCACTGCATGGTTTGGGTTCTCCGGCAGAGCCCAGCAGGCAGCTTCAGCAGCATCCTCTTCACCCTCATTCATGTGCCTGACCTGCCTGTTTTGCCCTCATCTTCACGCCGGCCAGATTAAGGGAATCTGATTGCTCCACAGAGCCTTGTTGGAGACCTAGCTGATCTTCGGGCCTCTCTAAGGCTCAGGCCCCCTGCTGTAAAAAGGAGAAGTAATTCCTGAATTTTTGGAAGGATTAGAAACCAGAGATGCAACCAGTCCAGTGCCATACCTCATCGAATGTGCCTATTAAATAGAAGCTGGAGCCGAAGGAACCATCCAGGAAGTCTGTTTGCCTTCACCATGTCCTCCCCTACCTACCAGGCTCAGAGAGCTGTTCTGGGCACCCAGGGGAGTCACACTAACAGCTCATGTTCACTGAGTACTCACCAGCACTATCTGAAGCACTTGCGTGTGTTAACTCAGTCCTCTCAGCAACCCAATGAACCCTGCAGTATCATTATTTACATTTCGTAGATGAAGAAACAGGTTCAGAGAGGACACATAACTTACCCACACACTAAGTAAACAGCCAAGCCTTAGTTTGGATGCAGGCCTGGCTGATGCCAAATCCTTTACTCATAACCCCGTTGCTATTCACATTCTTGGAGACCCAGCCAGTGCTACATCCCTGGAAGCTTCTGCCTAGGCTGCCTTCTTTGGCCTTGCTTTTCCCACTCAGCTGTCCTTATTCAGTTTTAACTGAGTCTCACACTTTTAACCCTCAAGCAGCTATTGTCCATTCCTCTCCGCCAAAGCTCCTGGGAGAGGCTGTAAAGTCATTCTTGGTTTCTAGCTCCAAACACCCATCTAGATGGAACTCTGCTGTGGGCTCTCATAACTGCCCACATTTCCTCTGTTGTCAGACTCATCAGGACATACTGGAATTTCTTGCTTAAAGAGGTGGTATCTGTTTCTTTTCCCTAAAGGACTATGAACTCAGGCCCGGCAGTGTCGCCCAGCTCAGAGCACATAGTGAACACTCAGTGAGTGTGATGATGAGACACTCAGACCTGATGAAACACTCCGAGGCAGGTTATTTGGAGCCCAGGGTTCCCTTTCCCTTAGACCACCTCTTGGGTATTCCCAGGACAGCTGGGGGCTAGGAAGACTAGAAAAGGGTGAAGGGGCGTCTTCAAGTGGGAGGCAGCCCCAGGCCCATCTGCACAATAATAATAACTCTCCTTTACTGAGTGCTGATTAAATGCTTTATAGACATTACCATTTAATTATCACTGTAATATCATATTTGAAGATACTGAGACTCAGAAAGTAAGGAGTTAGTTTAAGACTGTAGAGCAGGTAGGTAAAGAAGGCAGGATTAAACCTCAAGTCTACTTGACCCTATGGCCCATCTTTATGGAAAGCACCTGTTACAGTGCTGGGCCCATTGTTAGCATTCAATGTGTGTTAGGTACTATTACTATTACTACAACTACAGTCTGCTTGCTTTCTGCACCAGCCTCTTAGAATTATAAGAGAAACCGTTCACACACTCTGCCAGTCTCAGGCATCACTATATGCAGTGGGGAGAGTCTTTTCTCTTTGCTCCTCTGGCTGAAAGCACACACCTTAGAACCTGGTCACCTCACCCAACCCATCAACCCAGCTCAGCACTCTTTATTCAGGAGGGTAGGAAGGGAGAACCCTCTGCCTCGAGAATGCACTGCACTGCCCTCCCTGGTTTTCTCTGCTTGGATGGCATATGGCCTCTCACCCCTCCTCTCTGCCTGCTGCAGTGTTGTGAAAGCATCACTGGCAATAGGGGAACACTGGGGTGAACCTGCAAACGGTGGATTAAAGACTCCATCTCAGGGCTCACTCATTTTGAGAAGAGCTTGTTTTCCCTTGGACCCACAGAAAGCAAAGAGTGGGCTATGCAATATGGGAGTTTCTCAACTTGAAAACGATAGCATGGTTCTCAGAACTCTTTCCTTGCTCTTGTAAGTTAAGAGCAACAAAGTAAACTCATATTATTTTTTCCCCCCTGTAAAAATGAGATTCTGATTCTGATTCTTCTTTTCTCCTCTCCCACCCAAACACAATTAGTTCTTAGAGCTTTGGGGAAAGGCGAGACTCGCTGGCCTTCTCAGGTAGCTTAATGTCACATGAAAAATAGTCATGGCCCAGTATACATCCACAAATGTGAATTTTAGCCAAACAACAGATGATAGGGGAGGAGATGGAGTAGAACATGATGGGTTGGGATTGGAGAAATAGGGTAATTTGAGATAGACTGAGCTCAAGTAGGAAAGTGTAAGTTGGGTAGGATCAAAGATGGGTTGGGATATTGGGATAGGATAGATAGAATGAGATAGGTGATGGAGTGGAATGAGATAGGACTGAATGAGATGTGATGTCGGAGATGGGATTGAGAAGGTGGGGTGTGCAGTATTCAGCAGATTGCCTGGGATGGGGTGAGGTAGGGTGGGAATGTATTAGAAGAGACTAGGGTGGGATGGGATAAGATGGGGTGGTGGAGTTGGGATGGAGTGGAATGGAACATCCGGGATATGATGGAGTGGAGGTGAGATGGGTTGTGGTGGAATGGCAGGAGATAGAGGGGAATCAGATGTATTGGGATTGTTTGGGTTGGTGGGAGATAAGATGGGGTTATTATGTAACCAATTGAATGGGCACCAATTGAGTGGGCATAAGGAAATGGGAAGTGAGGGAGGGCGCTGGAAATAGCTTGACCCACTTCACCTTATTGTAGCATCTTCATCTTCCTAACCAGAACTTCTTGAATGTTGATCAGTTTATTTCTCACCTGAATTGTGAAATTTCAGGCACTTATAAAGTCTCCATTAGCCTTTGTTTCCATATAGCATGAATCCTAAAATGCTTGAGGCTCCATTTTCCTGCCATAAGGGATCATTCTTCAGGGAGACACTGGGAGTCCCGTGTGGCCATCACCAGGAACCCACCAGAAAAATATGCCTGGTACAAACCAGGAGCACCAGGGCACCTCCTGTTAAGTACACCATCAGAGAAAAACATTTTACCTCCCCTAGAGCTAGTACAGTGGCTCCACTCACAGAAAGCAAAGCCCAGGATGGAGTCAGGGTTTACCTCCATGACCCCCTCTGTTGGGGGAGTCTTTCTTCTTGAGACTCTTTTACTTTCCACCTGTTTGTGTCTATATTATTGAAAAATTTTAAACTGAATTGGTCTTTCAAGGGATGTCAGTCCCACCCTTGAAAAATCATTATTATAAGGAACTTTCATGATGCTAAAAATAATTTATGTATAGTTAAATGACTGTGAGCACCAAATTACTCTGAGAAATTTGAGAATCTCCTGTGCCATCTAGAGCAGAAAATAAGGGCTTATATTGCAATAGAAATAGCCTTCCTCCCTGCCAATGTCTAATTTATACTCAATTAAGTGCAATTATAATCCAGAACATCAAAAAATTATGTGTCCATCTTCTAGGTTTTCAAATAGAAAACAGAATAAGTTCTATTATTAAGTACCTGCATCTATTTATTGATTGAAAGTAAGCAAGTGTGATGGATGTAACTTTACAGGGAAAAAGCAGAGACTTTGAAATTTGAGATACAAGTGTATTACCAGAGAATGTGCAGGCATTTTGTGCAGAATGATTGATGACCCTTTCTGTGATGAGCAAGTGTGGTGGAGTCGAATCAGGCCTCGGGAGATTTGTCTTCAGGTTGCTGCCTGACCACACTCCTTTCCTTACCCCAGCCTCAATCTCCCTACCTACCAACCTTCATTGCGTCCTCCATTGCCATTTCAGAAATGGAGAGAGCTCAGCAATTGGGGAGACTTGGTGATGGTGTGTGGACTTAGCTGTAAGAAGGAGATGATAGTTTAATGGTTTATTTTCAATCCATGCTAAAATGTCCCTAGCATGAAAACAGACATCTCAGTGATGGCTCAGGAGGTCCCCTCCTGCCAGGGACCTATCCTCCTGGCCTTATCCTATGTGCATTCCTAGAAGGGCTGACCCATAGCAGATCCTCAGCTAGGAGAAAGGCCTTATTTGGCCTAGGAGTCAGGAATTCCAGTCTTGGCTATGCCCCTAACCACCTATGTGACCAGAAGCCAATCATTTCATTTTCCTGGGCCTCTATTTTCACACCTATAAAATGGAGATAATAATATACAGCTCGTCTATGCAACGATGGACTTGGAAGCTCTTTAATCAACAAAACAAAACAAAAAAGCCAAAGCTATTAGAATAAGATCAAAAAAGTTTCTAGTTTAAGCCCATCCAGTGGGAGATCTTGCCCAGGGCTCAGACTGGCTTGACTTTCCAGGGATGGGGAGCTCATGACCTCTGCAGACAGCATGCCAGGCTACTTTTCAGGTCTCGGGGGTGATAGGTGAAGGAGAGTGGGCTTGCTGAGCTTCTTGGCTTTGATCCATTCTTACCCTCCAGTGGCCTGTGGGACTGCTCCTGAGACTGCAAAGGGAAGAAACAAGCCGTCTCCATCCAGAGCCTGTCAGACATCCTGGCCACAGCCTTTTCCCAAACTACCACCCACCCCTGGGCAGCAGCACTGTGAGTTCAGTCTGGGAGAGTTGATTGTTTGGGCTTTACTCTCACTAACACATTCAACCAGGGGACAAGATCTGAATGAGGCCTTTAACTCTAGCAAGAGGAAAATTCCCTGCATTCAAGAACCACTGGGACTCACATCTCTTATGATATTTTGTTCCAAGAAACATGGAAAGAAGACAATGTAGGCACAGTTGACATTTTTTGTTTTCTGCACCCCCCCAAGATCTCAGGTGCATGGCATTTGAATTAATCCTACCCTCACTCCACTTTGCACTTTATGATCCCCTGTCTGTGCAAAACTCCTCTCTTATTTACAGTTTTTGCCTCCCTTCATCCCAAATCCTAAAGCTATCCCAATCCCAATAAGTACTCATTCTGATGTGTTTGATATAAGTCTTCAAATATGCATGGATCCTTATAAAATATGTAGGATTGTTTGTATCTCTATGTATTTTTTATTTCTATAAATGATATTGAGGTATAAATTTCATCTGGTTTCTTAGTTTATTTACTTAAGACCATATTTTGCAGATCTCGCCATGCTCCTTGTGTGTATCTGGTCAGTGGTTTCTAACTGCTGCATTGCATTATGAGTTCCACATCCATCACAGTTGATCTATCTGTTCCCCTGCGGAGAGCCCTCTAGCTTATCAGCAAGTCCCCTACACTCCACCATTAGAAGATCTGAAGATCGTCCTTGTACATTCTCTCTTGGGACCCTGTGTAAGAATGGTTCTGACTATATGATGGAGGATTTGCTCCCTGGGTTAATGTGTTAGCTTTTCATGTTCTGCCATGGTGTTTTTCCGAGCACCATGGAAATGGTGTGCCAGGTCACATTTCCACTAAGAGTGTCCAAGAGTTTCTGTCTTCCCATGTCTTCATGAGTACCTAATATTAGCCACCTGTCCAATTTTGCCATTTTTGGCAATGTAAAGTGCCATCTCATTGTATTAATCTACACTTCTCTTATTACTAGTAAGCCTGAACCTCTCTTACAGGCTTGTTGGCTGTTTGAACTTCTCTTTTTCTGAATTGCCTATTTATATTATTTGCCTATTTAAAAATTGGATTTCTTGTCTTAGAAATCTTTTGGTTGATTTGCAGATGTTTTGTTTATAGTCTAGGTGTTGCCCTTTGTCAATTTTAGAAGTTACAAATAGCTTCTTCTAATCTTTAATCCATCTATTTGGCATATGGCAGCTTTCTTTGGATACGAATGCTTCCTTTTGATATAGTCAGATCCATCAGTGTTTTGGGAGAGGTAGAAATTGAGACATGAGGTTACTGAGGAGCTAGAGAACATGGTGGGGTCCCATGGACCCACATGGGTCCACTCTCTTGCAGGGCTGGCTCTTGTATGGAGGGCTCTGAGGAGTCCTAGAACCGTCCTGTCCATCCTGAGCCCCCACATCCTACAGGAGGTCTCTCTTCTGGCTCAAGGCCCTGTGTTTCCTGAAGGCCCCAGTTAAAGTACAGTTTAACGGATGGGTGCTATACCTAGAGAATGGGCAGGATTACTCAGTCCTTCAGCAAGCATTTATTGAGTGTCCCTGTGTGCCTGAGCTCTCAGCTGCACTAGGGACATGGGCAAGTTTTAGTGCTGAGTGTACATAAGGGAGGCAGCTACACACAGGCTCAGAGCAGCATTATTCACAACAGCCAAATGGCGGAAGCAACCCATGTGTCCATGTGCAGATGAGTGGATAAACAAAATGTGGTATATCCATATGATGGAATATCTTTCAGCTTTAAAAAGGAAGGAAATTCTGACACCCACTGCAGCATGGATGAACCTTGAGGACATCATGCTAAGTGAAAGAAACCGGTTACAGGCCAGGTGACCTAACTCACACCTATAATCCCAGCACTTCAGGAGGCCTAGGCAGATGGATCACTTGAGGTAAGGAGTTCAAGAACAGCCTGGCCAACATAATATAACCCTGTCACTACTAAAAATATAAAATCAGCCCAACATAGTAGTTTGCTACTCTGGAGGCTAAGGCACAAGAATCGTTTGAACCTGAGAGGTAGAGGTTGCAGTGAGCCGAGATCACACCACTGCACTCCAGCCTTGGTGACAGAGTGAGAATCTGTCTCCAAAGAAATAAAAAAGAAAGTAGCCCAGTTACAAAAGGGCAAATAAATAACTACCATATGCTTCCACTGATGTGTGAGGTATTTAGCGCAGGCAAATTCACAGGAACAGAAAGCAGAATGGTGGTTGCCAGAGGCTGGGGAGGGGAAGTTAATAGCTTAATGGGCACTGACTTTCAGTTCTGCAAGATGGAGAGAGTTCTGTGGATGCATGGTGGTGATGGCAGCACAACAGTGTGAATGGACTTCATACCACTGTATTATACATTTCAAAATGGTTAAGATAGCACATCTTTTGTTATATTTATTTTACCACAATTTTTTAAAAAGAAGAGGGACAACTCTTCAGACTCAAGAGATCAAGGAAAGCTCCCAGAGAAGGGATGTTGAAGCCAAGACCTGCAGGGTCAGCAGGAGTGAGCAGAAGAAGAGGGGAGCAGGAAATGGCTTGCCACAGTGCAGGTTCATCTGCGTGGGCTCCTGGTTGAATGAGAGCATGTCATTCCAGGTCTGGAAGAAGGTTTGCTCACCGGAGAAGGGCATTGGGAAGTCTGGAGGGTTTGGAGAAGGGTGGGTGGCCAGCTGGCTTGGGTGGCAGCCACAGGTCTCTGAAAGAACACAATGAGGGCAGGGGGGCTATTGGGGAAGGCAGGTCTTGGTGAGGGTGCCTGGAGCCCCACATCAGCAAGGAGGGGCTGAGGGGACTTTCTTCCACAAGTCCTCTACCCAGTGCCCCGGCCTCCCAGGGAGGGTAGACAGCTGAGTGAACTGTCAAAAGTACATGAAACGCATTCCATGAATCATGGATCCTTTATGGTTCTGTTCATCCTGCCTTCCTGAGAACATCACAAAACTTCCATCTGGAAAGAAAATAAGCCAAGTGCAGTGGCTAACGCCTCTTATCCCAGCAGTTTGGGGGATTGCTTGAGGCCAGGAGTTTGAGACCAGCCTATGTGACAAAAAGTGAGACCTCTTCTGTATAAAAAAATAATTCAAAAATTAGCTTGCTGTAGTCCTAGCTACTTGAGAGACTGAGGCAGGAGGATGGCTTGAGCCCAAGAGGCTGCAGTGATGTGCCACTATACTCCAGCCTGGGCCACAGGATTAGAAAACCCTGTCTCTATTAAAAGAACGGCAGAAAGAAAGAGAGAAAGTTGTGGGAGAGAGAGAGAAAGGAAAGAAGGGAGGAAGGAAGGGAGGGAGGAAAGAAGAAATAAAAGAAAAATAGAAAATCTACCTGCTTGGGCCGAGTCAGCAAGTCCTTTCCAGGTGCTGTCTGTGGGAAAACCTGCTGTATTCTACCTTGTCCAGGCCTTATGTGCCTGTCAGCATTTTGTTCCTTCTGCCTCTCTCCTTTCCTCTCTCTTCTCTGCCAATCTCCTCCACTTCTGTCTTTTCCTTATCTTTCCTGTCCATCCTCTTCCCCAGTCCTGTTACTTCCCAGGAAACCAGCACTCCCCCTCATTGAGAGTCATCCTCCTCTCCATCCTCACACTCACCATCTGTGAAGAGAGCCTCTTTCTGACCTTTGACCTTGCTTCCTCCACCCTCAATCCAGGCAGACCCCTCCCATCTGTTGCCTTTCCTTTAACCAGGCTTCAACCTGGTGCCTCTCTCTACAAGGTGGCTTTTTAAGGCCTTTGGCTGTTGGGGCTGGTTCATGGAACACTTACTGAGTACTTAGTGCAGTGGCCCTGGGTTGGGGTCATGGGTACAAATACCTTTTAAAACCAAATTCCTTCTCCCAGGGACAGTTATAAGCTACTAAAGGACAAGGGAGCTCCCAGCACAGTGGAGAGGGAGAGGGGAAGAAGGAGGACTTCATTCAGAAGGTGCCAGCAGGCTCTTTAGGAGTGAGCAGGCATTTGGTTGAAGGAGGGCAGTTTAAAGGTAGAATATCATAGACAGAGAAAGTAGCCAGACAAAGGCTTAAAACAGCAGGCTGTGCTTGGTAGGTGCCAGGTTTGCGTCCCCCCTTTATCAGCATCATCGTCTTCCTCGTGGAAGCTATCCCTTAGTTTCTATTTTTACCTTTTTTTATAGGTAGAGTCTTGTTCTGTCACCCAGGCTGGAGTGCACTGGTGGGATCATGGCTCAATATAACCTTGACCTCTGGGGCTCAAGCGATCCTCCCACTTCAGCCTCCTGAGTAGCTGGGGCTATAGGCACATGCCACCACCACTTGGCTTTTTTTTTTTCCAGTTTTTTTTTTTGTAGAGATGGGGGTCTTGCTATGTTGCCCAGGCTAGTCTCGCACTCCTGACCTCAAGAGATCTTCCCTCTTCAGCCTCCCAAAGTACTGGGATTATAAGCATGAGCTGCAGTGCCTGGCTGGCTATCTCTTGTTGAATACTCAGGCCCTATGCTTCGTGAGAGTTACTCATTCCTCCCTTACCTTTTACAAAACTCCTAAGAGTTCTATCATTTTGCAGTTGAGGAAACTGAAGTTTAAGGAAATGAAATTACTTGCCAAGACCACACAGCTAGGGAGCGGGAGAGCCTGGATTTAAACCTAGTCTGATTCTAGAGCCTATAGGCTTAACCATGTACAGGTTTCCCAGTTAAAAATGTAGATTCTGGCCAGGTGCAGTGGCTCATGTCTGTAATCCCAGCACTTTGAAAGGCTGAGGTGGGAGGATTGCTTGAGGCCAGTAGTACAAGACCAACCTGGGTAGCATAGTGATACCTTGTCTCTACAAAAAATAAAAATATTAGCTGGGTGTGGTGGCATGCACCTGTAGTCCCAGCAAGTCAGGAGGCTGAGGCAAGCGGATTGCTTGAGCCCAGGAGGTCAAGGCTGCAGTGAGCCATGATTGCACCACTGCACTATAGCTTAAGTCACAGAGCAAGACCCTGTCTCAAAAAAGAAAGAAAGAAAAATGCCAGGTGCTCACCTGATTTTTTGAATCAGAGGATCTCAGAGCAGGGTGCAGAGATCTGCATCTTTAATGAGTTCTTCCTGCTCAGCTTCTGATGACCTTGGTCTTAACCCCACCAGGAATGACTAGAAGAAGGGCTCAGGTCCCGGGTGACTTTGAGTAAAGGCTCTGCCTCCATCACTCAGCCCACACCTGGGCTGCCTTTGCAGCACTGCCTTCCCCTCCCTTTGCTCCTCCCTTACAATTAGCCCTGGCACTGGTGGCATCAGGACCTGTTCCCAGGGATTGCAACAGCCCAGAGGTGGTCACCAGGGTGACCAGATTTGTGTTGATGAGATTAGGCAGCCCCCTGGAAGAGCCTGGGAAGGCACCAGCCCAGAAGGCACGCATTAGCATTCCTAAACTGCTTAATACACTTCACAAAACGCCTGTTGGTGAGGGTTGGCCTGACAGCTTGGAGCTCCTGAATCACTAGTCTTTCTTCCAGCCCTGTATTTGTTAGGTGAGAAATCAGGACACTCAGGGGAGTCTTATCCTCAACTTCTTCCGTGTACTAATTCCCATTATTCTAGATTTAATACTCTCTGAAGAGCAGACACACAGCGTTGAAATGCCATTTTCTTTGGGCCTGTTGGTGGGGGGGCAGCTGGCATTTCAGGATGAGGCATGGCAGGCAGGCTGAGGTGAGGTCAGCCAGTGTGGCAGAGGTGTGAGAAAGCTACAGAAGGTGGGGCTGAGGAGGCCAGGGCCCAGCCTTAGCTTTGTCCCTGGCTAGAACAGGACCCCAGACCCAGGGGAGGGAGCTGGAAAGGTAGAAGGGCGCTAGCTCAGGGAAGGGGCATTTAGAGGGTCTGAGGTCCCAGTGAAAACCCAAGGGGCTCAGCAGGGAAACTGAGGCAAATGGCCAGTTACGCAAATAGGGATGTGAAGGTGGGAAGCACAGTAACACTGGGAGGCCCAGAGATGGCATTCGTTCATTTATTCATCCATTCCTTGTGTTTCATTCATTCTTTGGGTTTCAGGAAGTGCAGCAGGGGACTAGTAAATAAGTGCCCTGGAGGGCAAAGGTTTCATGACCAGATGAGTGTGGGAAACACTACATCCTTGGCTTCTGAGGTATGGTTCAAGGCCTTGCCAGGAAGCTTTTTAGACATGTAACCTCTTGAACCCCATCCCCCACCTACTGAACCTACATTTTAATAAGATCCCCAGGTCAATTTAGGTGCCTATGAGAGTCTGAGAATGCATGGGCTAATGAGAAGGAAACAGAGGGGAGGGACGCAAACCTGGCATCTCCCAAGCACAGCCTACTTCATTTTTCTTTCCTCTTTTTATTCTTCATTTCATTCCCTCCTATGTCTTCCATGCCACTGTCCAAATGCTGAGAATCTCTATACTTAGGTCTCTAACGAAGACCTTGCTCCTGAACTCCGGACCCAGGTTAAGTCCCCACTCTGCACACTCTATGCATATGCTTAAGATGGTGCATTCTCTGAGCACAAGCTTTAGAATAAGGCCAACCCCAGGCAAATCCTGGTTCTAGGTCATTCTTGGCCTCAGTTGTCACATTAGTAAAATGGGGCAAAAATCTTGACTTCAAAGTCATGCTTATAAAGGTACATGCTTGCAGAGTGCCTGGCTCAGAGCATGCAACTCTCTTGCCCTTTTGTCCTTATAAGTCTATGCCCCACTGAAGGAGGGGGTTTGACCCTTTTGCTCACTGCTGTGTCCCCAGCATGTAGCACAGTACCTGCAGCATGGTGGATGCTTCATAGATATTGTGAATGAATGAAAGAATGAATAAACGAATGAATACTCATCAGGTGTTTGTCAGATCAAACTCAATGTCCTGGAGGCTGCTTTCTGAAGCAGCAAAGATGCAATTTTCCTTTTTGTTTTCTGTTGCTGCACCAACTTATGGCAGATTTTTCAGAGTGAAGAATTGCTGAGAGGCTGGGCAAGGGGCTGGTGGAGGTTTTTGATGAAGAGTGATGAGATAGTTGCTGTGTCAGCCTGTGTTTCAGGAAAATTCTGTTATTACTGAAACCTTTGTTTTGAAAGCCATTGTTAAAACTAAATATTTTGGGAAGTGTTACCCATTAACATTACTCTTAGTAAGAATGAGCCGATTAGTCCAGAAAGAGTAGGATCAGGTAGGGTGGTAAGTGGGTAGACTTCTGTGGATCTGGACCCTCTCAGTGTCCCTGGGCCTCAATAAGATTTTGAACCTATAAGTTTGTCCTGCCCAAGGCTGTACTCTCTTTCCTCTTGCTCCAGCCCTTGTGGGCCCCTCACACTCATCTCAGTCTTGGAGTGTCCTGCCCTTGGCTCTTGACCACTCTGGATCACAGGTTCTGCCTCTGCGGCAGCCTCACCCACTCGCTCTTCTGAACAACCTTGTGTCCTACTTCACAGAAAAGTTGACACTAAAGGAAACAGCTGCATGAGCCTTGCTGCTGAATTTGTGCAGGGAAGTGCTGAGGACACCATACCCTGCATTATGCAGGGACGTCACTGCCATAATTGGCATCCCTGTGCCCCATTTCTCTAACTCCTCTCTCCCCTCTGTTTCCTTCTAATTAGCCCATGCACACACTTTCTTTGTGTGTTAATAATACGTTAAAAAACACTCTTTCCCTGACTCTGCACCCCCTTTTGGCTGTCACCCCGTCTCTCTCCTTTCCTCCCCAGTCATGCTTCCTGAGATGGTGTCTGCCAATTCATTTCTCAGTGCCTGTCACCTGGCTTACACTCTCCTCACTCAGGGAAGTGCTCCAGCCCAGAGTACCACATGACTTCCTGTTTACCAAATCAAAGCATCTCTCCTGGCTCCTAGACATTCCAGAGTCTGGTCACAGCCAAGCCTCTTGACCTTCTGACCATCCTCCTCCCTGTCCTCCGTGTCTTCAGTGTCTGACACTGCCCATCACTCCTTCCCACTTAACATTTGCTTTAATATTGGAGCTTCCAATATTTGGCTGTGATCTTCTCTTTGTATTCTTCCTTTCATTCCCTCCGGTGGCTTCCATGCCACTGTGCAAATGCTGAGAATCTCCATACTTAGGTCTCTAATGAAGACCTTGCTCCTACCTCCCAACCCTCGTAACTCCCCACTCTGCACACTGAATTCTTCATTCCTGTGGTCACCTATATAACTCTCTCCCACCCCTAGAAACTTTACCATCCCAAACTTTTGTGTCCCACCTCCATGAATTGCTTCATGCATCTTCACAGTCATGCATCTTCCTAAGCCAACAACCTGAGACACATGTTGGAATTCCACCCCATCTGCTCTCTTTCACTAACTACATCTTATGGATTTTACCTCTCAATTCTCAAACATTCTTCTGCATCTTTGCTGGTGGTTTGGAACTCATCCCGTTTCTCCTGCACAGTTGGAACACAGCCTTCTTGCAACTGCAGGGGGCTCCCACATCTGTCCCGGCTTCTTCCAGGTGGTTCATGCTTAAGTCAGACAAGGGGGTGACTTTACTTTCCAGGGTGGAAGAGGAGGGGCAAGACAAAGATCACTGAGAAGTTGGTACCTCTTGAAGAAGTGGCAAAGGGTTAGAAGGTTTTGGGTGAAGAGTGGCTTTGTAGGGTGCTTAAACTGATATGCCACTAATACCTGCTCCCTGCTGGGGCTCTGATGGGTAGGACCTGGAACAATGGTCAAAGGGGAAAGTACTGATTCATTTATTAATAGCCAGGCATGTGCCTGATACCCCTCAAGACACAGGTCCTGAGATGGGCTCTGGTGGTACGTTTCTGCAATCCTGGTGACCCGGGAAGCTGAGGTGTGAGATTCACTTGAGCCCAGGAGTGCCATTACACTCCAGCCTGGGTGACAGAGTGAGACTCTGACTCTAAACAAACAAAAGTCATCAGTCTTTTGGTGTATCATGTTGGAGAACATAGCTTGGCCTCTTGAGACTGAATCGGGCTTTTTCGCCTCCTTTCACCATGAATCTAAATCTTGAGAATGGAGCACTCAGGACATCTGCAGAATTAGGGCTAGGATTGTGCCTCTCGAGAAGCTTCAGTGTCCACTTTCCCAGCCAGCTGTCAGCATGAGAATGACAGGGGGCTTATTCTACTCATGAGTTACGGGTAGAACAAGGGGTGTCTGGTGCCTTGAGAGCCCCTGTTAGCTTGAGCAGAAAGGAGGTTCCCCCTCTCCTCTGTGTGCTGAGACTGTCATGGGAAGGGGGCAAGGCTCCTAAATGCCTGCCTCTCCCTGGAACAACTTAACTTTGTTATGGTGAAGGATGTTCTCCCATTCTCCAAGTTTCTCCCAGAGTCTTGTGTTTCAAGGCACAATTTCTATTGTATTGCACTCATTGAGAGGGACATGGATTCATTTCCCCATTTCTATTTCTGTGTTTTCAAGTCTGCTGGCACAGATCAGCTCTCCCCCGATCCCACCTACCCTACAAAAATTACACGGGGAGATGCTGCCAAGGGGCAGGGAGGAGGTTCATTAGCATTCTCAGCTGCATTCAGAGCCACCCCTCCAGTCAGCAAGAGAGCAAATCCATGGCCAAGTGAGGAGGCGCCACCCAAAGAAGCAGGCATGCAGCCTTCCTACCTTTCTGCTGTCCTGGTACAGGGCCTCAGCCCCTCCCAACCTCTTGGGGCCTCGACCTCCCTTTATCCCCCATATATGTGGTCTGAGTTGAGGCCATGAGCTATGCACTTTTTGAACTTGGGTGGTTCTGTTCTTTGACCCTGGGAAAAGGCATCTTCTTAGGACTTCATTCTTACTCTCTTTGTCTGAGATTGAGGCTACCCTCATTTATCACCAAAATGTACCTCATTTCAATTTCCTCTTTCAAAGTAGCAGGCAGCCTTGCCAAGGGGCTAAAGTTTCTCATGCAGTCAAGCAGAAGGGTTGGGGAACCACCATTCCTTAATTGGCAAGCCTCTGGGGTCCCCCTGGGGGCCACAGCTCAGTCTCAGCAGAGTGGACAAAGGGCAGTGTGACCTCACTGACTGGGAATAGTTCCAGGCCAAAGCAGACACTTGACATTTATTTGACCTGTGCATTTTGATCATGGATAAATGCAGTTTCTGTTAAGCTCTTTGCAATATTGGAAATAGCTCACAAACTCTCATTACTGTCTTCGAAGACCCACAGGGGTCTGGGAACCCCAGGCAGGGAATACCATTCTTGTCCAATTTCTCCTCTACACCCTCAACACCCCCTCCCTTTCTTCCCCTCTCAAGTTTGGAACAAACTGAATAGAAAACACAAGAGGAGTCAAATGGAGAGATCAAAATGTTAGTTTCATTACTTTACTGATAAAGCTGATTGGAAGACGTGGCTTTGGATATGTGGCAATATTGTCTTGTTAATACATCACTCTTGAATTTAAGAAGTTTTCCACTCATTCATCAGCAAAGGAAACAACCTCAGGCTTCCCTCACAGGGGCAAGGCCTGCTGGATAAGTTAAGGAGGTGCAAGGTGGGTTGAGGCTGAGGTAAGTATCTGGAGTTATTTCCTCACAAATGCCCTTTGGACAAGTCACTCTTCCTCCAGGATAGGAAGAGAGTAAGGGGTCAGACAGGGACTGGAACAATGTGTGCCACTGGTACTTGGTCCTCTGGAGCATGGACTGGAAATTCTTTCCCCTCTGAGGAGACAAGAGTAGTATGAATGCGTTCTCTCCTAACACTGCACAGTGAATCTGAACCTGAGCTGGTTGGCACCGCCGGCAGCTGGGGGTGGTTGGGGCAGGCGGGTCCTGTCCCACCTACTCAAGAGGACTCAGCTGTCGATACCAGACAGCCTTGGAGATTTCTCAAAGTGTTTATCCAGACTGAGAGGAGATGTTGACTAAGACATTGATAATCTGGCCCGCTTATCTCTGTGACATATTTAAATAAGAAAATAAATTGTTCATTTTTCTTTACCCTTCATTGTCCCCTGGAAGAGTAAATGGAGAATATATTTCAACCAGGTGAATCGTTAGGAAATGGGACCACGGTTTAAAATGCATCAGCTCTGGAGTCAGACCTGATTCTCCTTGGTTAACTCCTTGATAGAAACTGATGTCAGATTAGGGCTGAGCACCATACATTTGCTTTGCAGATGAGGGGCCAAAATTAACTGGAACAACAGGCCCAAGGCAAGAGGAGCAGGCTGGAAATGATGCAGACAGTTACTACCATAAGGCAGTAGCAACATCAAGACTTTTTTCCCTCTTTCTTTCCTTTTTGTTTTCCATTCATGTATCTGTTTAACCAAGTTGTGCTGAGCTACCACTTTGTGCCAGACACTATGCTGGGTTTTGGAATATAGAGCTTGATAACATGTGTGGGATCTTGTCCTTTGGCCCCCACCCGCCTAAGCTTTCAGTCTTTCTAATATATCACATGCGGAGTGGACAGATAATTACACAGATCATTTAAATGCAATGTGGTAAGCATCAAAATAGAGGGACTAGGAGAGGGGTTATGGGAGCACAGAGGAAAGGCAAGAGTCCAGCCAGGAGCTATCAGGGATGACTTCCTGAAGGAGGCAATGTTAAACTGAGTCCGGGGAGGAGGGGCAGTTAGTGTATTGCAGCTGAGAAGAGTGAGTCACAGCTTTTTCACCTGGTAAAGCTATTATTGGTAATGGCCTGGGAGGCTGATGCTCTAGGGTGGACAGGCACTGGTACCTGTTGGGTGCCGATCTGCATATATCCTATGTTGGGTGGTTCTAAGGACTATGAAGGGAGCCAGCCATATATCGCAGCTGAGAAGAGTCAATTCTGGCTTTTTCACCTGGTAAAGCTATTATTGGTAATGGCCTGGGAGGCTGATGCTGTAGGGTGGTACTGGTACCTGTGGGGTGCCGATCTGATCCTGACTCTGATTATGTTGAACAGGTTGCTGTACCCAGGCACTGTGCTAGATTTTTTTTTTTCTTTTGATACGGAGTCCCGCTCTGTCACCAGGCTGGAGTGCAGTGGCTCCATCTCTGCTCACCACAACCTCCTCCCAGGTTCAAGTGATTCTCTAGATAGAGTCTAGCACTGGCACAAATCACAAGCCATTTCAATAATAACAGCACTGATCATATCATCTTTATGTATGGAGTCCCTACTATGAGCCTCTGTGACAAGCATTTTATATACACCATCTAATATAAGCCTTAAAACAGGCCCATAAGAGAGATGGCATTACTATCTCCATCTTGCGGATGGGCAGACTGAGCCTCAGTCGTGTTAAACAATGTCACACATGGCTTCTAAACATTCGAGTTATATCCAGGGCTCCATGACTCCAAAGCTCATGCTGCTGAGCAGCACACTATTTCATTCCTCAGATACAATTTCACACAAGAAGATGGAGACGGGGGCCATTCTCCTCTTCCATCACTCCCTGCCACTTTCCAGGCCTTTTCTCATCTCTATAAAGGAGACATCCTTTTGCCTGCCTTGAACAAAGATGGTGACAGGATCAGCAGGGCTTTGCAAAGGCCAATTCCACTGGGCTTGTAAGGTGCTTGCATCTGAATTTCAGGACTTGCATCTCCTAGGGCACCAGGTGGCTTCTGAAAGGAGACTGAGGGGGCAGAGAAGAGCCAATCCTGGGCCTCCGCTCCAAGGGCAAGTTGTCTGATTTGATCATGCAGATCCTTCATCTCTGGATGCATGCCCCCATTTGCTTGCTGTTATCAGATGTGTAAAGGAAAGAACCTACTTGGAGACTGAGGAGGCTGCCAGGACAGGATGACCCATCTCTTCCCTAAAGGCCGTGGCAGCAGAATAGCTCAGAGAAGCTGCTTGGGGACACTTTATGACACACACACTCAGAAACATGTATGGGGCAGGCCCTGTGCAGTGTCAAAAAGAGGGAAGACAGCATTCCTGCATTAGGAGCTCACATTTCTATGAGGAAGGCACATCAGAGCAGTCACTGTGTAATGTGGAGCCCAGAAACCCGGGGGTCATCCTCAACACCTCTTTCTCCCTTTCCTCATCTCCCCACATCTAGCCATGAACAAATCCTGTTGGCTCCACCTTCAAAAGAAATCCAGGATCCCAGCCCCTGGTGCCACCCTCTTCACACCCTGGAGTCTGAGCCATCGTCTTCTCTTGCCTTGATCCTTCCCTGGTTTTCCTCCTTGCATTCTCGCCTCTTTCCATTTTCCTCCAACCTGGCAGCTGGAGAGCTTTGAACATGGTTAGGCAGATCCTTCATTCCCCTGCCATCATTTAGAAACAAGTCAAGGTCCTTTCCATGTCTCACTCCTCATTTTCTTCCTGATCTTATCCCCCTAAGACTTGCCCCACTTACTCTGCTCCTGCCAGTGGCATCCCTTCTGTTCCTCAGACACACTGGGTGATGGGATATGCCTGCAAATAGATTTTGGGCTCACTGTCCCCTGGGGAGCCACAAGCCTTAGCCATCGCTTTAATTAATTCTTGTTCCAATGTCACCTCCTTAGAGAGGTTTCCTCAACCCCCTCATCCACAGTAATGCCTTCCTTCACTCACTCTGCCCTGGCTTTCTTCATAGTCCTTGGAGCCACCCAACATAGGATATATGTATTTAAAAAAAATTTACTGTCTGACTTCTTAAGCAAACCCCACGAGATCAAGGAGCTTGTCTATTTTGTTCTCTGTGGTATGTCCAACTCCTAGAATAGTGTCTTACACATAGTAGGGGCTCGATGAATACTTATGGGATGTTGAATGAGTGAATATGGAGGGAGAACCAAGACATGAAAACCCAGTAGATGGAGTTAACAACTCCAGTGTATGGGGGTGGGTGGGTTCACTGTTGGGTAATGTGACATTTGAAATGGGACTTAAAAGGTGGTGCAGGAAGCTTTCAGGCGAAGAAAGGAGTGGAATGTATCCCAGGAAGAGCCTCCAAACCTCAAAGTGCCCTATATTCACACAAGGAACTGAGAAGTTCTGTGTGTTCAAATGCTCCTTGTGTGAGGGTGGTGGCTGGGGCTGCAGGAAGTGAGGCTGGAGAGGGGACATGTCATAGAGGAGGGGAAGGGTATGGTTGTTCAGTGAGAAGTGATTATGAGCCTGGTCTCTGGAGCCAGCCCATCTGGGTTCAAATCCCAGCCCCAGTGAAAAACTTGTAAGTCACAGTTGGAGGTGACTATGAAATCTTTGCTTAGGACCTCAGAGAAAAGTATTGTTCTCTGTTCTATATTCTCAGACACACAGATTGGAGATTGGGAGAGACCCAGGTTTAAATCCTGGCCCTGCTTGATACTAGTTTATGTAAAGGGCATAGTAATCTCTTTAGGCTTCAGTTCCCCATCTCTAAAACAGGAACGGTAGTGCCTCATCCACAAAGCCTTTTTAACAATGCAGCGAGATGATATACATGATGTATTTACTTAGGGGTGGTACTCCCTCATGGTTGCCAAGGTGATGGGGCCTTCTGAACCCAGTGGGGTCTGAGGCATTGGGAGAACACTTGTCTTTAAGCTCTTCATGGGGCCACAGGTGTTCTCTAGACGTTTGCCTGGTCTTGCCTACAAGGCGCAGTGCCTTTGTTCAGAGAGCCTGCATTTTAGCTTGCTGTTCCCTTCAGGCTCACAGAGGGCTATGCTTTCTTCTGCCGCTGGATCTTTGCACATGCCAATTCCTCTGTCTGGAGTATTCTTTTCCCCTTTCACTGCATTAACCATGGCTCAAGTTTCACTTCCTCGGAGAAGGTGTCCTGGCCCCCAGTCTAAATCATTCTCATAGAATCGTGTGTCTTGCCCTTGGATTACTTAGTTGATAATGATAGATTGCCAAAGCCATTAATTTATTATTGTCACTCTTGCTCTCTAGACTGGAAACTTCAGGAGGCCAGGGACTATGCCTGGCTTTACCTATTATTCTGCCTCTGGACCATGGATGGTCCCTGGCAAATAGTATGTCCTTAGTTAATATGAAGAATGATTTAGGGACTATGGAAATGACATGCACAACTCTAGTAACATTGCCTTAGCCTGTTCCTTCC